CAGGCTCTGTATGGTCCCTAGAAGTCTGACTGGGATCCAGGCCCTGCATGGCCCTTTAGAAGTCTGACTGGGATCCAGGCTCTGCATGGTTCCTTAGAAGCCTGACTTACTCATTTGAAACCTTAGTGCTGCAGGTGTTGCTCTTGCTGGCCTCCCAGTGACCGTCTGACTGTTGTGCTGGTGACGTCTGAGGAGCACACCTAGCAGAGGCAGTGGGTGAGAGACTGCTTGTTAAATCTCGTTGGTGTGAGGAGGTTCTGCCAGTGCCTGACGTAGAGAATCAGGAGAGCACAGGAGTTCCCGTGAGAGCTGCGGGGCGGCAGAGGAAGCAGGCCCACACAGGAGGCCCTCTTTGGAGACCCCAGGGCTCTCTCAAAGTGTCTCCTCTCCCAACTTGCCGGTCCTGAGAATTGTCTGCTGACAGTGACGTGTGGAATCAGCATGACAGTTCAAGTCAGGCTCCTGGAGACCCAGTCAGCACCTTCTCTCTCTCCAGTTCTGGGAGAGGTGCAAAGGAATAGATGATAGCAGAAAAGGAGCTTTCCCATTCTGCCACAGAATCATTCACACGACTTAATGAGTGCACCCAAACCTTCTCATCTATTCTGTGAAGTTCAGATAATGTTGAATTTCCCAGAAGCATTAGATCTTGATTTTGTCTTGGTTGCCATAAAAAAAATCTTCCCTGGCATCGATCAAAAAGTGATGAGCAATGAAATGCAGTGTTTGGTGGCTATCTCTTAGTGATGACTGAGTTGAGAGACACTGGACGGGAATGTGACATTCTGCAGATAGCAGCTCCTCTCGGTCTGATGTGAGAGGTGTGGGATGTGGTCTCTAAGGGATGGTTTGAGGGGTTACACGGTGAGCCCACCTAGATGTGCGGTCAATTCACAGCTTGCAAAAGTTTGAATATGTTCATCCATAATACCGACTGAATGTTTTCCAATTTTTAAAGACCATGTATACATGATTCTAGAATAGCAAGTGGAAGAAGAGGAACACAACAAAAGCGGCTAGTCTTTGGAGGAACCAGGCTGGGCCTTGTGGCCTCTCCAGCCTCCCTGCCTCCCAACTCTCGGCACCACCTGGCTGGTCTCACACTCCCCAAGTGCCCCGGCTGGCCTTGCTCAGGGGGCTGTGCTAGAGAATTCAGGCTGCTGCCGCGGGTGGCTGCCGCGGGTGGCAGGGTGCAGTGGTCTAGACACCTCACCGGCCCACTTTCTGCTTCTGTTGTATGATTGAGGCAGGTGCCCCGCGGCCTGTTTCTTGCTCTCCCCTGTGAACGAGGGCTGTGTGGCTGCCAGCGTAGCCCTGCTCTCCAGGGGTCTCCAGGGTGGGTGATATGGCACACAGCACAGAGGCGACTGGTGCTGGGGTGTCACTGGGGGGAAAGGAGAGCCAGTTTGTACTTTTTTCCTGGTTCTGGGGACTGAACCTGAGGCCAGCTCTCTACCCACTGAGCTATATCCCCAGACCCACAGGTGGCCGACAGGGCAGAGCCATCTGCAGACGTGGCCTGTCTCCTGCGGGTGGTGGCGTGGTACCCACAGGCTGCATGGCTGTAACGATGCCTCCGTTTTCACTCCAGATTCGAAGCCAGAGCAAAGCCTCTGGGGCCGGGCTGTGTGAGGGGGATGAGGTGGTGTCCATCAATGGCAGTGCTTGTGCAGACCTGACCTACCCCGAGGTCATCCAGCTCATGGAGAGCATTACGGACTCCCTACAGATGCTCGTCAAAAGGTATGCCGGTGGGTTGGACTACGTGTTTTCTCCTGAAGCTGGATGGGGACAGTTGAAGCCCCTACTGCATACATGCCCTGGGACCGATGAAGGACTTGGGTGCTTTGTGGGAGGCCAGCACAATGAAACAGAAAGACCAGTGTGCTTGAAAAATGGGAATTCTGTTCAACCGAGCTTTTTGATTTTATTTTATACTGCTTCCTTAGAAAGCTCAGTATATTGAACATAATTTAATATTTCTTTCCAAGAAAATCTTTTCAGATTTTCTGATGGATCAGGATCACTCTGATTATGATTCCCAGATGAATTTAAAATGTTTACCTTGAACCATTGGACTATAAAACATTTCAGAGAAAGAGGATACCTAAGAGAAGGGGGGAAGCAAGCAGAAAACTTAAAAACCACCAGATTTCTGCTTCTCAAGACCTCCAGTAAAATCAATATTTGGGTATGGTCCAAAGCAGATGATGAAAATAAAGATTTTTAGCTATCAGAGCAAGTCAGTTGTGAATGTGGTGTCTCCAAATACCAGTATTCCTTAAAAATGTACAGTAAGAGTTTTAACCATCAAAATTAAAGAACATTGAGGCCAATCACAAAAACCGTCACATCAAATTTTATAGGGTACAATCACAGGACATTCTGCGCTGATTTTGCAATTGAAGCCATGATCATCATCAGGACTTCAGAAAGGACCCTGGCTTCCCCAGAACGGCCTCTGGGAGATGTCGGGGAACTCCTCACAGGATCCCAGAGCCCTCGAGGTTGTGCCTTGACTCTACACAACAATGGCATAGAGCACCCTCCTCTGCAGTCAATCAGTTACAGTGACATTTCTGTATATACAGGCTCATCACAGCCAAAATATGTGACAGTAAAGGAAATCTAGAATATTCTTAGGACCCGATTTGTATTTGCTCATCAAGCTCTGTGTCAAGGCCTTGGACAACATTTATTTATTAAACCTCGTTCACCTGTAGAAGGAACCCAGCAGGAATGTGACCAAGTGCTGCCCAAGCTTGCCACTACCATGTACAAATCTGGGACGTGCCCTGCGACTTCCATCTCTGTCCCTTATATTCAAAAAAAGGAACAACCTTTTTCACTCGGTTTCCCTTTGAATGTGCTTTCCCCTCCAGGGCCCAATCATCTGGGCCACACTGGTGGTCGGCCAGTCCACTCCTAATCCCTGTTCTGATTGTGATGGCCACTGCTGGGAAAGTCCTTGATGATTCAAAGCTGCTCCTGGGCACGTTTACTTTCAGAAATAGGCAGACTGCTACTTTTAATAACTGGAATTACTGTGATTATTATTTTTCTCTAAAGTATTTCTTAACTTTTTATAAAATACATACTTGGTGGAATAAAAAAGGAACTCACATTCAAATCAGCCCAGAGGTAGTCGCCATCATCGCCATCATCGCTACCACCATCACCACCATCACTCCTTCTGTGGTCTGAGCAGTGATTCCTACCTTAACCATTTCTCTCACTCTTGTCTGCCATCTGTCTCTAGCAGACAAGTGTTTGACCTTTTCTGTATGTTTGCCCAGAGGTGGCCAGATAAGACTAATTTTAAACACTCCTTTACCATTAAGTCTGTATTATCTTAAATTTCATTAAAATGATAGAATATTTTAAAATGAGTACCTATAACCATGTTGTATAAATTGTGAAATTGGATACCTATGTAGACTGAAGAGAAATAAGTCATTAAAATTTAACTTCTCTCTCCCTCCTTCAAACTTTTATGATTTTTCTTCATGTATATATATCTTGCTTCAGCTACCAAGAAAGGCTAACATTTATCGGCCCCTGGCCTGGTTCCAGACTCTCAGGCTGGAGGGAATGGAAACCACCTCCTCTCAGCTCCATAGCTGATTGCTAACATCATTCACAGTGACTCAACCTACTTCCATACCAGTCTTTCCTAAATTAAAACTCTCTGGCCCCCTCATATTCCATTTGATAGAGTATATTCACTATCTCCTGCATAAGGATATAATTTAATATTTTTTAAAGATTTTTTTTTTTTTAAAAATTCTATATCACCAGGGAACTTTTCAGATTTACTTACATAGAGAACACTGCATTTTTGTTTTTTTGTTTTGGTCACATGCGAAGTTTGGAGTATGTGTTTCAAATGGGTGTGACATTGGGAAGTCACAGGCAGAATGCCAGGAGCCTCTTCAGCTGATGGCCCTGCACTGTCAGCCTGCATTTTGAGGGAGGCACAGAGGGGCAGGGACAGCTCCTGTGCTACTTGGAAAAACCTCCAAATGTAAGGAATGAAGGCATCAGCAGCAGCTGCCCTGTGAACCACACTTCTCTTCCAAAAGCAGTTAGAGTTTAGAGTTTCAGAAGGAGGCTGTGTTTGACTCCTGAACTGACATCCCTTCTTCTCACAGACCCAAATTTGCAAAACCAACTGGAAAAGGGTAAGGTCAAAACCTAAGGGCGGCAGAGAGCAGCTCGGGACTCTTAGCTAAGTGGAGGAGGAGGAGCTTGACTTCAGAGATCCTAAAAGGAAAGTGCTCAAGTGGAAGGGAATCCATCTCAGATTATAAATCCTGGCGACTCAAGGACGCTTGCTGTGCGTTCTCTTTACACAAGAGTCCTGGGCTGGGTCCACTGATGACCAAACACATATTCCTGAGCTTAGCAAACAGCTTCTCTGTCATTCCTTTCAAGAAAGCACAGCTTCTAAAAGGGTTCCTTGCATCATCAGTCACTTAAGATTGGTCGGAAATTCTTGCTCCCGTTGAAATAAAAAACATGGTTGTTTGAGAATACCCACCCTATTTCAGATATAGGGCATTCATATAGCTATTACATATAGCTATATTTAAAAAAATAAAAAAATATAAATAGCTATTTTTGTTTAAATAAAAGCCGAATTCAAGGAATTGGGGACGTATTTAGGTTTGAAAATATTTTGCAAGCATTTTTGTTGTGTTTTAAATGAAAGTTTATTTGGGAGCTCTTTGGTGATAGGAACGTGTTGGTGGCTTCAGTTTTCCATTACGTTGCCGTTGACATTCAGGAGGAAGTGCTGGATCCTAATGGTGTACTGGACATCCCACTGTCCGGCCAAACGCCCCGATCTAACTGTCGGTTATGTTTTTCTGTACACAGACCAACCAGTGGAGCAAGTGAGGCTTTGGTCTCTAAGCCCGAGAACAAAGCCCTTGAGCATCTCACACTCGAGGGGCACGTGGAAAGTACCTCCCTGCAGATTCCTCCGGCCACCTGGCCCCAGCGCAGAGAGCAGAATGGAGCTCCGGCAGCAGCAGACGGAGGGGCTGTTGCCCGCGGGCGCACGGTGGAGCTGCGGCTGAGCCTCCGCCCCTCGCAAGAGCCACCCTCCCTGCCCCCCACCACGGGCATCGGGGGAGGTCAGCAGCCCCAGGCTCAGTCCCCCGGCCCCTCCCAGGTCCCCTCCGGGAGTCCCTTCCCAGATCCCATTCCCACCCGGGGGGCCGAGCCGTGGCCTCAGACCCCGCCCCCCGGCCCCTCCCCTGTCCCGGCTCCCGCCCCCTCGCCCACCCCGGGGGACGGGCAGTGGCCGCAGACCCCGCCCCCAGGGCTCCAAGCCGCGCGCCTGGACCGTGCCGCCCCGCAGCCCGCAGACGCTCCGCGCCCGGGACCCGACCGCAGCCGCCCGCACCGGCACCGCGCGCGGCACGCGCGTAAGTCCCAGGCCTCCCGCCCCGCTGCGTGGGTAGCCCTGTCTCTCGGCGGCCTTCGGGTGCAGCCTGGGAAGGCCGGGAGAGAGGGCGAGAAACGGGACGCGGGCCTCTGAGTGGGGGGCGGGACCGCAGGCTGCGCCGAAACTTGGGTGTTTCCCGAACTTGTAAGCCCTGGGGGCGCAGGAGCCGTTTAGAAAGTGCGGTGTCAGCGAGCTGTCTGGGTTCGCTTCCGGAGGCTGTAACGTTTCACGTTAAGGTAGCGCCAGAATACTGGAAAACAGGTGGCCTCTTGAGTTTAATGTCAAAGACGGCCCAGCGTGCTGCCGGGAGCTGCCTTCAAACCCGGACTGCACTCCTGACTTAAAGGCTGATCTTCCTTCCGAAGAAATCGTCCTGCAGCGTGATGATGCTTGCAGAAGTGAGCTTGACAGACAAGGCCATGTGTCGCTCCAGCGGTTACACGATCCGGTCTTGTGCAAGGCTTCGCTGGGCTGTGCAGCGTGCCGCGCGCCTTCTAGACACAGCGCAGTCTCCAGGACGGTGCGGGCGTTGAGGGTCCCGGGCCCAAGCACACGACCCAAGGCAGTTAGGCGTTTGTCTTACCCAGGCCGTGAGGGCAGAGGAGGAGTGAGGACGAGGGACAGGGCTGGAGTTAGGTGCTAGTATTTTCGTGCCCCCCCCCGTGTGTGTGTGTGTGTGTGTGTGTGTGTGTGTCCTTTACAATTTTTGGAATTTCAGATGAGGATACAAAGTGGCCAAGGCACTTGCTTGTGTGAATGTTCCACAACAGCAGTGAGCCTCTGCGGAGCGCAGTGCTGCTTTCCGCGCATATTTTTAGCATAACCATTTGTACTTCCTTGGCAAGTGCTGTCCGCTTCGCAAGGCCGCTGGGCCATCTTCACATTTATAGCATGTTAAATGGGCGCACTGAGACGGTGTCCACATACTTTGGCAGTGACGTTAGCAGCAACTGTGCAACTGTGAGTGTCAGTTTAATAATAAGTTGTATAACGTCGGTCAGGAAGGAACCGCAGTTGGTGATGACCGCGCTTCTAACTTCTCTCCATGAGAAATTTCTACACCAGTGAATATGACTTTCTTATAAAATGACTTCCTGGGATCACATTTTATTTTTAAAAAATTAACCATTATATCTATTTCTCTTGTGACAAAAGAGCTAATTTTCAATCATAAAATACCCATTTTTTCCCTGAAATTTCCATTTAACTATCTTGATAAATTAATGCTTGTGTATCATATCCATTATCTTTAAAGGCATGATTATAATTAACTGATGCAATAAATTAATTTGACACCATTCACTTTTACATTACAAAAGTGTAAATATGACTTTTTGTTACTTTATAACTATCAAGTTCTTGTTTTAAATGACTTAATTGCTGCACCAATTATTATACCAGTTAAAACTCATAGTCTATAATTTTAAAATTTCCCCAAGATTTATTTTATACTACTGCAATTAAAGCAGTATATTTCCAAAATAGCAAATTCTACAAATTTGGCTAGGTAACTTTGTAGCTAGAGTTTATTACATGTATTTACAGTGACCCAGTATCCTAATTTATAACTAATTATTCAGTATTCGGTCAGAATTTGGAATTTATATTAGTTCAGTAGCTGTCACTGAAAAGAGGGGTGGTTGTCAAAGTAAAAAAAAAAAAAGAAAAGAAAATGAAAACCTAAATATCTAAATTCATTATATTAAAACACTTAGGACAGGTTTTAAATGTTCTTAGGACACATCCTCTCCTTTTTAAGATACTTAAAAACAGTTTAAATTTACATTTTATCTTTTAAATATGGAAGTACAAAGTATATTTTGTTTTTCAGAAAATATTATATTCTGAATTATGTTCTTTTAAATTCTAATTGCATCCCAGTTGCTAACAATTTCTAGCCAGTGTTCTATTGCTAAAGTGTAAGGATGGGTGGAGAGCACAAATGTATGAAACATGTTCTACTCAGCACATATGAAATGCATTCCCGTGAACAAATGGAGCAGGCACTCTAGAGTTGTATACATTCTGTGCCATTACATAAATATCCATTTTAAAAGAAACAAGGGGCTGGGGTGTAGCTCAGGGTGCTCAGCCTGTGTGTGCCCAGTGTGCATGAGGCACCAAAAAAGAGAGAAGAATGAGTTGGAGTCTTTCAAAGTACAGCTCCCCTTGGAGGAAGGTCTTGTGCCTTCGCCCCAGGGGCGTAGTTTTTGGGTTGCTGTGGTGTGTTCCTTGAGCTCCTGGGCTCAGAATGATCCTCTGACCCTTCTTCTTTTCCCTAGGGCTCAGGAGGAGTGAGAGCCTGTCAGAAAAACAGGTGAAAGAAGCCAAGTCCAAATGCAAGAGTATCGCTCTGCTGCTCACGGACGCCCCCAACCCCAGCTCCAAAGGGGTGCTGATGTTTAAGAAGCGCCGGCGCAGGGCCAGAAAGTACACCTTGGTCAGCTACGGTACTGGGGAGCTCGAGAGGGAGGCAGGCGACGAGGAGGAGGAGGAGGAGGAGGAGGAGGAGGAGGGCTTTAGGGAGCACACGTGCGAGCTTGCGTTCCTCCACACCAGTGAGTCGGAGGCGGACGAGGACTTGCTGTCTGACCCTGACCACAGCGGGCAGGCTGTGAGCTTCGACTGGGACTCTGGACTGGTGGACATTGAGAGGAAGCTGGGTAGAGGGCATAAAATGGAGATGTTGCCAGACACCACGGGCAAGGGAGCCCTTATGTTTGCCAAGAGGAGGGAGAGAATGGATCAGATCACAGCCCAGAAAGAAGAGGAGAGAGCCGGTGAGCTGGCAGGGAGAGAAGCCGAGGCTGCCCTTGCAGACGGCCTAAGAACCATGGCCTCCTACCAGAGCACAGAGGGGCAGTCTGTGAGGGTTCAGAGCTCAGTGAGCAGGAGCTACATCCAGCTGGGCCCGAGTCCCGGCCACGCGCCCCAGCAGAACGGCCTTAGTGGGGGCTCTGTGGCAGCAGAGGCCCAGAGGATGATCCCAATGAACAGAACCGCCAAGCCCTTCCCCGGGTCTGCGAACCCACCAGCAGCCCCCTTCTCCCCCACCCGGAGCATGACAAGTCCCATCTCTGACTTCCCGGCACCTCCACCTTACTCTGCGGTCACTCCTCCACCGGACACTTTCTCCAGAGGGGTGTCAAGTCCTGTGGCTGGCCTGGCACAGCCCCCTCCCTGGCCTCAGCCTGCCCCGTGGACCCAGCCGGCCTTTTACGATTCCTCTGAGCGAATAGCTTCCCGGGATGAGAGGATCGCAGTGCCGGCAAAGAGAACAGGGATACTGCAGGAAGCCAAGAGGAGAAGCGCCACGAAGCCCATGTTCACCTTCAAGGAGCCCAAAGTAAACCCGAACCCCGAGCTCTTGTCCCTGCTTCAGAATGCCGAGGGCAAACGGGGCACCGGAGCTGGCGGTGACTCGGGGCCCGAGGAGGACTACCTCAGCCTGGGAGCAGAGGCCTGCAATTTCATGCAGAGCCCCTCTGCCAAACAGAAGACCCCCCCTCCTGTCGCCCCCAAGCCTGCGGTCAAGTCTTCCTCCCAGCCCGTCACTCCAGTTTCTCCAGTGTGGGCTCCGGGGGTGGCTCCCACCCTCCCTCCTGCCTTCCCCACGTCCAGCCCACCACAGGGCACTGTGGTCTCCTCCATCAAGGTAGCCCAGCCCTCCTATGCTCCTGCCCGGCCCACGAGTGCGCTGAACCTGGCCGGTCCCTTTAAAGGACCACCGGCAGCAGTGGCCAGTCAGAACTACACCCCGAAGCCAGCAGCACCCGCGCCCCGGGGAGGTGCTGCTCATTCTGCTGCGGCAGGACCACCCACCGAGCTGCCCGGAATGAGTGGGAAGGGGGCCCAGCTCTTCGCCAAAAGGCAGTCGAGAATGGAGAAGTACGTGGTGGATTCTGACACCGTGCAGGCCCACGCCACCCGGGCACAGTCCCCCACGCCGTCCCTCCCAGCCAGCTGGAAGTACTCCTCCAATGTCCGCGCACCGCCTCCTGTGGCCTACAATCCCATCCACTCCCCCTCCTACCCGCTGGCTGCTCTCAAGTCTCAGCCATCGGCCCCACAGGCTTCCAGAGTGGGCAAGAAGAAGGGCAAGAAGCCCCTCAATGCTCTGGACGTCATGAAGCACCAGCCGTATCAGCTCAACGCATCCTTGTTCACCTTCCAGCCTCCAGGTGCCAAGGATGGCCTCCCCCAGAAGCCGCCCATCAAAGCCAGCCCAGCCCCGGCTGTGAACCAAGCTCCACCTCCCGGGTCGGTCACCATGGGCTCACCCAGGGCCGCGCAGGCTCCCTCCGTGTGCTCCCTGCCAGCCTACGGCTCCCAGCCCTGTCACTTTGCAGAGCCCACCTCGCCAGCCAGCGCGTCCCCAGTGCCTGTGAGCGTCCCCGCCCCTCCCAGGCAGGAGTCAGCCTCCTCGTCTTATCTTGTGGCACCAAGGCCCAAGTTCTCTGCCAAGAAAAGCGGAGTTGCTGTGCAGGTGTGGAAACCATCTATCGTGGAAGAGTAGCCTTGTGGCCACCACCACTGTCCACTAGCTTGAAATGAGTTGTTTGCAGTGTTACTTGAGCCTTGAGCATGCCTAGCAGATCCTCCACTTGCTTAATTTCAGATATGTCACCTCCCAGTCTGGGTCCAAGGAGTCAAAAATCCAACTCAGATTAATTTAGGATATACTTCTTTGCACACTTTAAAAATCTGAATCCCCAAATAGATATGTGCCAGTACTTGAAGTAAGCAGGATACTTAGGATTTATGCTTTAGCTACAAGAAAGACAGCGGTCAGCTCATCAAGGTCAGGACACAGCCTTTGTGCTGGTGCAGAGGTGGAGGACACAAGCGCGTGTAAGCTGAGACTTGCCTTCTAAGTTGAGCTCAACCTCTTCTGCTAGGTCCCGGGAGTGAAGTCTGTCGAGGATGGGGTGGACTCCGGGCGGCCCCCTCAGACCCGACTTGGCATCTCAGAAGAGGTGCTGGGGCCCGCAAGGCTGAGGGGTTGGGGAGGGGAGGTCTGAGAACTGTTGAGCACTCTTGGTGCAGAGTTCCCTGCTGGGTGTCCGTGCATGCAGTGGCCACTTCAGAAGACTGACCTAGAGTGACAAGGAGAGGGCAGAGAGGGAGACATCCCCAGATGGACTCCTCCCCTCCCAGTTGCTTAAGGGCCAGGCATGTCCATCTCCAATTGCCCATGAAGGCACAGGTGGTTTTCCTGGGCGGAGGCAGGTGGCAGACAGCAGGGCAGGAAGTAGCTCGAGGAGTAGGGGCAGGTGCCTGCAGAGCCACACAGTGGGGACCCAAGGGTCCCTGGCTTGAGCAGGAGGAGCTCCCCTGCAGGGTACTCAGGGTGAGCACCAGCGTGGCCACGCAGACCTCTGTGCCCTGGGGAGGGCTTTGCTGCTGCTCACAGCTGTCCTGGCACCTCCACTTTCCCCCTCTGCGATGGACCAGGGTTGTGCAGGCAAGGTTGCCTCATAAGTGTGGATGGCCACACCATGCCTGGTCCCCTGGCCACCAGGTTCACAATGGCACTGAGAGTAGACCCCAGAGCTTTCCAGACCTGAGTGTGACCATCCACGGAAAGTATTCAAAAGAGGTGTGCAGACAGCTACGCGCAGGTATGCAGATGGTAGGTGTGTAGAAAGGCCCCAGGAGAACGTCACTCTGTGTGGGGGGACGCTCAGAGACCTCTCGTAGAGACCTTCGTGGCTGGAGGGCACGCAGCACCACCCACCCTCTGAAAGCTCTCTGCTCCTGTCCTTTCCTGTGGTCACTGTTCCTCACTGTTTTTCATTGTCCTATTAAAATATTACTGTCCTCTTTATCTGCTCATTGTACATACTTTTAGAAATCTGCCTTGTTGAGTTATTCTGACGTCACTTCTCAGATATTTCTTTCGTAGTGTCTGAGCTTCCTTTGAGTGAGCATCCATTTCTTCACAGATTGTAAGACTGCAAGCCTCAGCTGTTTCTACAACGTACATTAAGAGGAGAATTAAGCCAATGCCAACGACGGGACTGATTCTTCCGTTTTGTTTTCTTCTCTGTAAAACCTGCCATTGTGTTTGGTGGCAATACAACCACAGGAAGTGGGCCTAGGATTTGCCTTTTCATGAAATCAATCAGGAAGATGAATGTAGGATAGAGGGGAAAGCAATCTACCCCTTACATAACACAGCCCTTTCTGTTATGTGTCCCTGTTGGGTGCTGTGTATTTTGCATTGTTTTCTAATAGAACAACCCAAAGAGCCTTCGTAAGGTGTAGCAGGAAAGGAACTTATTCTCCTATCTGAGTGCTTACCTAGATCACTCTTGTAACTGAGTGCTTACCTAGATCTTTCTAACTGCATACTTACCTAGATCACTCTTTTTTAAAACAAAATATTCACTTTTTAGTTGTAGTTGAACACAGTACCTTTTTTAAAAAAAAAAATTAATGTGGTGCTGAGGATCAAACCCATATGCTAGGCAAGGGCTCTACCGCTGAACCACAACCCCAGCCCAAACTGAGTGCTTACCTAGCCTCTGAAGCATGGCAAAAGTTAGAGGAAATATGTGGACCACACTGACCGTCAATTTGAGATCGGTCAGAAGTGTCCCAGATGATCATCTTCCCAGTTGTCTAGAGCTGTGGTGCACAGGAATGAGAAGTGTTTGGGGCCCGTTTCCTGTTGGACAGGTGGCCGTCTGCAGAGCTACTGTTTGCAGTTGATGACTAAGGGCAGCTCACATGCCTGTGTGTTCTTGTCCTCTGGGGACAGGCTTCCCAGAAAGCACCCAGGAGTTTGCCGGCTCACAGCTGAAGCATCCAGTTTCCATCCTGGTAGTGGGGGGCTTATCTTGGATCAGACTTTATAGGAGAAAGGTGGAAATTCTGCGGGATGATGCACGCAGCAGAGTTTGACTTCTCTGGAGGACACAGGAGGGAGGGAGGGAGAGAGATTTCCTTTCCCTCTTCTCCCACTGGGCCTGTGTGGCCAGGTCCTAGAGGGCTGGAGGGCTGGACTCCAGCCGAGCTGCCCTTGGGGGCCACTCTGCAGCCTGCAGTCGCTCTCTGTGGTGTGGAGGTTGGTTGATTGGTTGGTGGGGGCTGAGGTCTGGGAGGCATCATCCTGGCTCTTGGTTAGCTTGGTGGTCAGGCAGAGTGCCCAGGCCTGGTTGTCAGTGCAGTAGCCGCACTCCTAAGAGGGTACTGCATCACATTAGGAGCTGCAGTGCCACCTCAAAGAACCCTCTGTGCAGGTGACAGGGCACTGGGATGTACGATGCCGATAGCGGGCGACTTACTGCAGGGCTTTGGGCAAAGGCTCTTCCTGCGGGCTTCCCTAGCAGGACCTGCGGCCTGTCCTCCAGGCGGGCGGGTTGTGCAGAAGGGGCAGGAGGCTGCGTGGACAGAGCTGCTGCCCGTCCTGTGAAGTGCATACGGCTGGTTGCAGGGCGAGGCTGGGAGTCTGAGCCAGGTTGCCACTTGGCCTCAGAACATTCAGTTCTGTTTCTCACATCTCCATAGTGGACCCACTGTGCGCTGGAAGCAGCATCTCTGCCCTTGGACCAGCCACTGACAGCGTGAAGCCCGCACCTAGAGCACTGTGGCCATTCCAGAGCCTGGAAAGCCACGCGCATCAGAGATCTAGTAAGATGCTTAACGATCCCGTGACCAACTCCCATTTTGCACCAACTCTCCACTTAATCCTCACTGGGAGCGGCCCATTTGATCCCAGCTGAGCTGTCCTGGTCCACGCCGACCACCTCCCCGGCAGTCCGATGCTCTAGAGCAAGACCCACATCTGCAGTGTCACTAACAGTGTCCCACACTTAAGCGGGTGGACGAATGTATGTGGGAGGCCTTTCCTGCTTGCCATGGCTGAGGGTCCTCCACCGCCGGTGGGCACGTCACAGGCGCTGCCCACGTAGCTCTCAAAGGCAGAAGAGGAGAGTGTCTGCCCTGGGGGCTGGTCGCAAAGGCCCTGCTGCCTGCAGCTTCTCAGTTGTACCCCCAGAGAACCTGCGAGCTCCCCTTCCAAGGGCGAGTTTCTGAATCGGCACCCAGTCACCACCAGCCCGTCAGAAGGGTCTGCGGTGGGGCATCAGGGAAGCGTGGACCGAGAGGCTACTGCTCCAATCCCTCTGAGGGAGGTGCGGCGCCCTGCCCCTACCCTCCCCCTGCCCTCCCAGAGCCAGGCGGTGGGCTTGCGCTAGGATGTGTTTGAAAGTTCATGAGAAAAGCATGTAAATGCCAAGAACCAACACTGCTTTCCCAGAAATAGTGACCTCACTGGGGTCCTGTCCCCATGTCACTGGACTCTGGGGGACACAGACTCCAGCAACACTTCAGAGCTGCCAGTGGAGTCGACAAGTGTTCTGGGAAAATGCAGAGCAGGGAATCTCCTCCCAACTCCCGGGTGGCCTGGGGTGCAGCAGCTGGTAGACCCCACGGGGCCCACAGAGCAGGCAGAGGGCCAGGCAGTCACCCCTAAGCACCAGCCCCAGGAGCCTCGAATTAGAACCATCGTCTCCCAATGGTATCTGGTAGTCAGTTTCTTAAATTTTAACAACTTGTGTTTCTGTGGTGTGTGTATTTGTACACTGAAGTAGCATTTGGAAATCTTGGAACGACTCAGAGGCAATTGAAGGAAGAAGAATTTAATTAGGAGTCCCCACATCTGGCCTAAGATGCAGCTTGTTGGCCAAACACTTGCTCATCCATGTGAGACTCTGGGTCCCGCCCAGCACATCAACAAATAAGCCCAGTCCTGTCAGGCATTTCTCAGGCTCCTGGCTTTATGGACGGCTCCCCCACCAGGAGGGTGCCCGTCCAGGGCAAGGCCGGAAGCTGCCCTTCCACAGCCTGTGGCTCAAGCCATCTTTTCCGTATGGATACATCCCATTTTTCAGATTTTCATTTTGTTGAAAGCTCCTCGTGCTTGTGTGGGTTCCTTGTCTTGAGGTGTTGTCTGCAGTGTGTGCCCACGCATGGGGGTGCACATTCAGGGCGGCTGGCAGGGCCCTCAGCCCATTCCTCCCCTGGGTGCTGTGCAGAGTGATGCCTGGGACAGCCTGCTTTCCCACTCTGCTGCGAGGCGGTTCATGGAAAACCTTCCTGCCCTGAAGCTGGCCCTGGGCTGGGAGGAAGGGCCACACGAGGACGAAGCTGTGCAGGGGCGCTGGTCTGGCACTTCCTTCAGGGGTCTCGGGTGTATTTAGCTGGGGAGTCACTGTTTCCAGGTCACGGTGCAAGTCAGGGTGCGCAGTGACGGGAGCCTGGTGCCTTCAGATGACCTGGGCCCCAGGCAAAGGTGGGAAGAGGGAGGGCAGCTCGAGTGCCCGCCTGGTGCCAGGAAGTGGGCCGATCACTGCCCATAGGCTGCAGTGACGGAGACCCCAGCCCAGCCAGCCTCAGGGCTGAGTGCCTTTCAGGAAGGACTCTCTTGACCAGGGGTCTTACGGGACAGGCCGTCCTCAGCCCCGCCTCAGGGAGGCAGAT